ATCAAATATTATATGTAGAACGTATGTATTTATAATGGGAGGAAAATCGATAGGAATCGGGCATTGCCCTACTGATCCACCCCACTGCACGCAGTGCCTAGCCCCAATGATTATTTCCCGAAATTCTGACCAAAACTAGAGCATTGAATGTGCAACACAACTAGTAGTCTACGTATAAACCTACATAAACACACACGTAGTAGGCACCCAGTCAGAATATTTGTATTTTTAATGTTACGAATACGAAGACGAATAACAATTAATTTGCCAGCGGTGTAGTGTCGCACTCGTATTGTGTCGGACGGTAGTTCCCGCCAAGTCGTTGCGGCACAATCACGCACAACGCGACTTCCTCCTCAAGTCGGTGTTACTACGTTACTTATTGTTATTCCGCACCAAACGCAACATTTTTTGTTTCATCTACACTCCTCCAATGTTCTCCTACTGTCTCGTCCCTTCTTAGGCAGTTTTGTATTATTTGTTTCGCTCACACTACCGCGTGGGTGTAGGCCCAGCGGCCAATGAACCCGACCGACACAGCTGTTTTCGTCAAAGAATAATTATAAAGGACACTAATTGAGTAAAAGTTGCCTAATAAATGTAAGTTGACACAGCGGGATGCTATACTATCACTGATATTGATTGCAAACAAACACTGATACGATACGAGACGTCATTTGTTATCTGACCAGTACGTGACGATATTCAGTCAAAGCTTAGTGGTAAAAAACGTAGAGCCTAATAAAAAGTTTCCTTGTGATATATGGCTAGCAAGATATCCACGCTCGAGTGGGCAGTAAACAGAACTCAAGCTTTATGTTCCACAGCAGATAATGGTGTTGATTGAAACTTTAGTAGTTTGTCTAAGAAACCCGATACCTTCCGGTTTGTCAAAGAGTACGTTTTGTATAAACCGTGATAAATTTAACGATCTCTTACAAATTTCAGAATAATATTATTTTTTTGAACCTGAAAATTATGCAGGAAATTGTGTATCAAGTTATCAACTCGCTAATTCAGAGCTTTAATATTACAATTTATTTTTAAGTCATAATAGTGTAGAAGAGACGTAAACACATTTGAATAACGATGATAAAAACCTGTAGCTAAGTAGATTGGTAGCTAGTTACTTAATATTCTTAAAGCTGAATTATTAATATATTTGCATACAAATTTTAATGTAAGTATTTCTAAAAAAACCAGGTGATTATGGATAGGGTCTTCTAAATTTTGCAGTCATTTTTACAGTTACCATGGGATGGGACAGGATGCAACTCCGAAACATTCGGGATCGATCGGAGGCGAGGGTTGTCCGACCCCTCGACACAGCCCGCCACGCCAGTTCCACGCAGTTTCGAGAATGCTAAACTTTCTGTCTTAACGCGTAAAGTGACGTAAGGACATTGACCGAGGTTATCAGATGACTTTGAAAAGTTACGCCGCGCGCCACTGTCGACTGTGACGCATCCAAAACTTTTGTGACATAATGACAGCAAGACGAACGATTTACTCGAACTTTTACGCCAGAGCCCCGGGGTTAAATGGCCGATAAGAGTCGAGAGGCAGCCAGTAGTAATGTTCGAAGTTAAGTTCATATCAATATCAATACTGCGTCGGAATGGGAATATTCACATGAATGGTAGAAATAAGTTAGTAGTAAGTTTTATTCATTCATACATTTCAATAGTAAAGTTAAGTTCGGTCGTTTATTTAAATGCAAGACTAGGATTACACATGAGTTTAATTTATAAATAATCTGCCTTTAGTTCTTCTTTTTAGAAATAAAATTGAAGGCAGGTCTGAGACGGTAAACGATTTCTCGAACGGCATCTTGGCGGAATAATCTAGTTTTCTACTTCAGTTGCCAATGTCGTCACTGCGACTTCGATACCGATTTATTTTGTTCTATTGTTTTGTTGGAATAATATAATCGTATTGTGTACAGTCTATCCCAATTTTATGAGATGGTCTTGTTTTCTTGTATTTGCTTTGTCTTTTAGTAAACTTATCAATCGATGTACTATTGAGAAAACTTTAGACAAGGTTTAAGACAAAGTATCGTACATTTGGAACTTTTATTATACTTAATTATGGTTTGCTAGAAAAACGAAAATTAAAGATTGCTAAGTGGTGGCAGTCTGGTTATGACTTCCAGGTAAAATAGACTCTTCGATCGGCCATTCGAAAAGAATAAATAAAACAAAAGATCATTTCTCTGAACTTGAACATAGAATTGTTGTTAGTCTTTGTTAAATAAAGTTCTAAGTACAATACAGTTATGGTCATCATGTCGTTTTTTGCCTCATAAAAACAGAAAGTAAGTTGTCTTACTTTCTTATTTTACATGCCCCTTCAATAAAAGGTTTATTTAATTGCACACTGTTTGTTCGTCTTCTGTGTCTTCTGGTGTGTTTTTAGGGTTATTATAAACAAGCGTTGATTTACTTTTTTTTATTTTTTTTTAAATAACTTTGCCCCACTTGGGATTTTTCCTGTATCGTGGGTGCGTTTACAAACATACAAGTTCACATATATACGACACCCAGACCCGGAACAACAATCAGTGGATTACACAAAGAGTTGTTCCGTACGGGAATCGAACCCGCGACACGTTGCGCGGCAGCCAGTTGCCCAGCCACCGCACCAACCGTGCAGTCATACTTGTAATTTGTTTCGACAAAGGTGAACCAAGTAGTACTCAAGTAACAAAATCAGTACAAAGGATTATTCCGAATAATACTTTGTACTGATTTTGTAAAATTAAAAGCAATATGATTATTTAATTTTATCTCTCTCTCAAGCAGCAAAAAATCTCGTTTGAAGTTGTTGTTGTTTGTTTTCAAAGAGTCGACATGCGATGTTAAAATGGCAGTGAACATTACAGAAAATTGAAATGTTGTAATGAACACGACAGCATGCTCTTTTTGTGACTGCAACTGGAAGTTACTCGTATGTTACTAATATAGGAATTTTCAAAGCAAAGTGAAATGCAAAGTTTACAAAAAACAAGTTCAGAGGGCTATTGCGAAACGAGGACTTTTATAATACCTTTACTGTTTAGTCATAACTAATATCCTTTTACTGAGAAGCGAAATGCAAAGTTTACATAAAACAATTTCAGAGGGATATTGCGAAAGGAGGACTTTTATAAATACCTTTACTGTTTAGTCACAACTAATATCCTTTTACTGAGAAGCCTTTTGAGATGAAATGTGTAAAAAATTCCATTCAAATAGAACTTTTCCGTACAAAAATCTGAGTATTTTGTTTATAAAATCGGACGTTACTTCTCTCTGAGATACTTGAATGCAAACTGCATTGATTAAACAACGAATGTACCAAGTACCTAGCCTAGATCTCCAATTAGCTTTTGTAGAACCTGCAGCAAGAAAACGAAGAGAATGAGAACTTTGTAAATACAAGTCAATCCGGTCGATCGCATAACGGTTAAATCGAAAAAGTCAAGTAACAATTCAATTAATTCGTCTAAAGCCGCTGGAGTAGACAACCGAAGATTTTAAATTAATTATCCGCCAAGGAGCAGAAGGACGTTGCATTCATTGTTAACGTCGACGAGAGCGAAGTACTTTAACGTAATTCGATGTTGATTTTCAATCGATTTCAATTATACTAGGACCTTCCTAATACTGAAGTTGAAGTTTATAAAACAAACGAGGACAAAAGTTAAAAGGAATAATCTTGTGCAAATGTAAACACAAACAATATTACGCATGACATATCTTCCAGGGTGATATCACGGAACAGAAATAGACGTTTTATTCGCACCAATAAACACACAGGTGAGCTAATAAAACGCAAGGAAGAAAGCAAAAATAAAATTATTAATTAGTTAATATTCTAATCCGTGGAACGGACGTGAGTACAAAAAAAAACAAAAATAATTATGAGAGAAGAGATACTCGATAGAAAAAGTAACGGAAGACTATATTTAAGCCAATAATGTCGAAAGCAAACAGGCGTTTAAAATATTGCAACTACATTTTCCCTCCGAGGTTCTTGTATGCATTCGATATTGTTTTGCTTTTTATTTTAATTGTGATTATTTATTGATTTTGAAACAGAGTAAGTTTGTGAATTGGATGAATTGAACTTACACTTTGCAAAATTACATGTAACAGTAATTTGTTTGTAATAGAACCGTATTAGATTCGAAAAGTACTCTCACTATCTTCTCAAAAACACAAATAAACATAGTGAACAGTTAAACTTCAACCAAGTAGGTGACTGACTAAAAAAGGTTCAAATTGAAAGCACCCTCAACTGACGAGCACGCATGAAGAGATCGTTGAATGTAGATGAAGCGAAAAAGGTATGCTAGAGTCAAGTAATTTGGTGTTACATTGTCTCTGACTACCTGATAAATTTATGTGGAAAAAGAAGGAGCGAATTTAAATTTACCTAATAATTAAACCATCTTATTTTGACGTAGTGGTAAACAAGTAATAGAGGCGACATAGATTGAGTCGTGTTCGATTAAAGGAGGCCAGCAATAACATGATAGCCAATTTATCGATGAAAGCTTCAAAGGTACGAGTTTATTACAGCGTCGGCCATTCCTGAGGGCGTTGGTGCATTAGACGGGGATGAAATTAATTTTACTAACAAGTGATATCATTTTATAAACGTATTCATCGATGAAAACGTTACAAAAGCCAAAATAAGAACAAAAGCAAATGAGAATGATGGCAGATGAGTAGAAACCAACATCTGAAATGAATGTCGAAAATTTTATTGCATACGAATTTTAATTTGGATCCAATAGATTATCAAGAAGATTTTTCAAGCTTCGGTTAATTGTTACTCGGAACGTGGATTATGTTTCCATTTAGTTACCTGAGTGCTTTAACGGCTAACAGCCGACGATAATCCATCAATTAGCGGAGATTATACCGTTAGCCTGGGAAGACTGGTGTTGAACTTACACGTATACAATAGTTACGTGATACGTTTACATATTTTATGGATTTGTCTTATATCTGATGTCATATTACTCTGTTTTTGTTAGATTTAAAGATGTATGTTGGATGGTAAAAGCAAGGGCTACAAAAGACACTATCATACGATTAAACTTTACACATTTTTGTTTGAATTATGGAGTTCAAAGAGAACTTCAGAGAAAGAAGAGCCTCTTGACATTTCAAAATAACAATAATACCGGTATTACATCTACGCGTATTTTTTGTATCAAATCAATTAAAGAGAGATTTCAAAACAATCACCGTGTAGGAGGAAAGAAATGGGGCAGAGGGTTTGTGCTAGTCTTAACGCTTTTATGTTTCTTTTCGTGATATTATTTCTTCTGTTTTGTAAAGCAATCTGTAAACAAAATGGAAGCTTTGGTCATTTCATTTCGCCCCCATACCTCATACCTGCGGCTACGTCATGGCGACCATTGAGCTATAAATAATTGTATCAGCCCCCGGCGTTTTGTTCGGGATTCGGGATACAGAGCACGCCCACAGGCTTTCATCTGTCTAGCTCATGCTGTATGACGAGTGATTGTGATTTCATATAAAATACATTTTACCGCGAACAATGCCCATCGTACAGATAGATTATAGATAACATGTGTAAAACGTACCCCACACTTCTTTTCTGCTGGAAATAATAACTCAAAGAGCTTTTTCAACGTTCAGTATACTACTTCAAAAGCAAAATGTGTTTTATTTCTTTCTTTATCACATTTCACCAATACCTATATGTAGATTATCACCCTAAGCCGGTACAAAAAAACTTCTAACAATAGTCGAGGCAGGTAAAAAAGGGACGCCCCGAACCAAAATCCCAAATCTAGCTACTCATGGAATATTTTGTTCTGCGATTTGGCAACGTCGCTGTCACATGGTAGGGTGATAAGTGTGGCAACGTTGCCTGGTGGTGTTGTGCCGTTACAATAATATCTTACGTCACATTAGGATAGGACCACTGGGGTTGAAATATCGATAGACCTCTGCGTGCTCGCGTCTGTGCCGGGATTTTGAGCAATTCGGTGAACATATTATTAATTCCGAAACAAGCTTGAAAATATGTCTCAAAGATTATTTTGATATTATTTAATGACATTAAGCCTCAGCGAACGAGAGTGATTTGATGAGTTAATTACTGAAATTGCTTCATGAGGGAAATAAATATTAAGTAGGCAATTTACACAAGTTCAATAGAACTGCCTGCTTTGTATTTTAATTAAGTTTTACATATACTCATGAAAAGATTCACTCTGCTTAGGAAAAGTGCCTGTGTGTCTCGGTGTTATGGATAAGTGCTCGGGTCCACGATAGAAGTAGAGACTTTACTCTCGGCCATATTACAGAAGACTGATATAATTTTTTCACGATTCCTTCCTTTTTCCATTCTTTCACGAGCAGTTGAATTTCTTTCCTGCGTCTCACACAGAGTAAAAAAGAACTTATTCGGAAAACGGGGCACAATGACCTCTCACAATATTTTACATTTAAAAAAAAAGTCTAACACAGAGACGCTTGCTTTACCGCTGTCAATTGACATGTCCCCAAATCAAAGTCAGTTATTATTCTAATAGGAAATACTTTGAATTTCAACTTCACCACAGCGTTAGGATACATACATTTATATCTAGGTGGACGTGAAAATAGTTGACAAGTGAGCAAATATGTTTCCAATTCCAATATACGTTGCGAAGCGGAGCCTGCATTCCAAATACCACTAATTAATTAATACTATGCGACTTTGAACGGGATTCGCAAACCGCGGTGTGCCTTTAGCATTGGTCAGTGGACAACAGACAGCAACGTTCGGAAACGTGATTTGACAAAATGCAATCAATGCTACTAAACTTGATGAATTCACTGAGTTATATCGTTTTAATTAAACTGAAATGACTAGTCTATTCCAATGTGAGTTTAATTTCGATTTGAGTATGATTCGTGAATGTAGTGGTTTTGGGTCCTATCTAAAGGTTTTGTTATCATTACATGCATATTGATCGTCACGTCTGTCTTCTATATGTGTAGCAGTGGTAATGGAACGACAAATACCCCGCCTCTGACATAAAATCTTTCTTGCTCTTCATTTTCCATTCAATCAAGCCCGACGGTTGTGGAACATTTTTGTACCTTTTTTATACATCACCATCCTGTCAAAGGACTACTCTAGCAATATTTTCTGGGTTCAGTGCTTTCAGGAAATATCGATATTCGACATTATCTAAAACTCAACTCACTCGATGATTAATTAGTTCGTGTCATTGTATCTTCGAAAACTTTTGCAGATCGATCATGTAGAATGTGGAAATCCAGCAATGTTTCTATGTAAATTATTCAACTACCTTTATTGTAAATTTATATCCTATCGATCATTGCTTTGGACATAGAATAAAAAATGCAGATCTTTTTTACTGTTTATTTCTATTTATGTATTTTGGGCATTTTATCCACATGGATACACCAACCTCATTGTACCCTCTTAGTTTTATGTAATAATATAACTAAATTTATTTATCGAGAAAATGCAGACACTCCGCTACACCGCAGCATTTCGCAAAAATCTACCAATACTAAAATGTACGTCATGTTAAGTTTGCAATTTCATACTCTCGCAGCTCGCTCGGCATGATGGGGCGCGCTAAAAATATTTGCTTCATCCCTCATCCGAAGTGCTATTCCTAGTTTTTTAGATTACGTCTGAATAAATCCGGATACCGGTAACTGAAAAATCCACTTTCGTATGATTTTTAAACTTTTAATGAGAGGTAGAATGGAGGTACGAGTTAAACAAAGCATTCATTATTGTTACAGACGAACTATATCTGTAAGTAGTAAAAATGAGGTCACAATTAGGAACTTTTTAAATACGGAGAGCCCTGTGGCTGGCCTTATTACTGGCAACTAACTGTCAATTTGTCCTTGAAGATACTTTCGCGGTGTCCGAGGAGAGCATATCCTATAATTATCACAAGGTGCAAAAAATGATGATGAAATTTTCATTAGTACTTCACTAATATTGGGGTGTTACTATTAATACTATAAATATAAAATGAATCCTTTCATTTACTTTGGTCACGGTATCATCAGAACCAAATTCACAATGAATGCTTCGTGTAGGGTTTTCCATTGGCGGAAAACAGTGTTAAAATCGGGAATTGTAATAAAATAAAATGAAAATAATATGTAATAACTAAAAATGACTTTATAGACCTACGTGTAAGTTCAGCAAAGCATGCCGCGCGTAATTACAAGTCCTATAGAGTCGCTTTGATTCTCGTAATAACATAGGTACTCGTAGGGTAGGTTGTTAATTATTACGATTAAATCACTTACCTACATTCTACGTTTATAGAAAATGTATTAAAAGCTATCTGTCATAAAACATGTAAGTGAAATTATAAACCGTAATTTGTTTTGTAATCTACACTAACATTACAAAAAGATTTAAATTTTTTGGTGGTTGAGCCAGCTACTAAAGAACTGGTACGATTTGAAAAATATTTTTTATTATTGCAAAGTCTACTTTTTGTGGAGTAACATAGGATCCCGATATCGCTATAGGATCGGAACATACTCGAAAATATCTAAATTCCCGCCAAAGCGTGGAATTACAGCTGACGTGGGATTTGGATTTCACACGGGTAATACACATGATAATGTAGTGTTAGAGGAATAGTGAATGAAACATTATGGAGGGGGTGACAAGTGGTGGTAGCAAACCTATATAAGACAGTGCGCGCCTCATTCGGGACGATTTTGCGGAATGGTCAACTTGCCTAAGGGGAACCCCTGCCCGTTTGGAGGGTCAACCTGCTGATCTGTAGTTTTGAAATTGTTTAGTGTTCATCTTTCTTTAAATTACTAAAGTGCTGTGTTACTCCTACTAATACTACTACCATAACTACTATCTAATTACTAAAGTGGAGCTAGTTCTACTGTTCTTATTTTGATTTCGGTTGGTTGATGAAATAAAAACGTGTTGTAGGTAGTTTGAGTTTTTGTTTTTTTTTTTTATAAATTTCACCTCAGGTTTTCTAAAAGTAGAATATAAAAGTAGCAGTATTATCCAAGAGGAATCTTTTTCTTTTCCAAAAGTCTTACTAAACAAACGAGCAATAACACATAATGAAACAGTTACACTTTAAGTTACAAGTCTCAAAGACTAAGTACCCGAAGACGTCAACATTCATACAGTTGTACCGCTAAAACTTTGCGACAGGCAGCGCAGTGCTGAATTTCACTAATGTAGCTCTTACTCTGATTGATACTCGCAACTAACAATATTACTCGGTGAACAATTACTTAGGAAGACGCGAATTATAACATGAAGAACATGATGGAATACTATTTATGAAAACTGGAATTGTAATTTGAAATGTGAAATTCCAAATTACAGTCATAGTTGAACACATATGTACTCACGGTAAGAAGATCCTACTTAGATTAGTTAGATTAATTTGGTGAACATGACCACTATTTTGGAAGACGAGAATTGCAACATGTTGGGAATGTTAAATTTCAAATTACAGTAATGGTTACATACATATAATTATTATGTATGGTAAGAAGATCGTACTCACAGCAAACCAACCGAGCCGAGCAGATAGATCCGAGTTCCGACCCAAACAAACAATTGTCCGTGCTCTTCAATTCACACTTAAGTGTAATGGAGAGAGTAAAGCTTTACTAGACAGGCACTCGGGGCTCGGAGCAGTGCACAATGCCAGGTAGTTATAACCAGATATGTCGACGAGATCATGTAGTTCCGACATCACTTGTTGCTATACACACGTACTTTAATACACGATCGCATTTGATATTGATAATACGAAACGCCAAACGTACGACCGATGTAGATAGAGAATGTAATTTAATATGAAAATCGTTCAGGTGATTTCTTTATACTCCAATTTTATGACCTTCGCATATTTTCCGTCAAGTATCTACAAATAAAGAAAGCCAAAGCTAACACTGAACCCTTATTTATTCACAATTCAGTGTATACGTAAATTAGTCGCCGCGGCGGTCGGTCGTGCATGGTAATTTAAAATTTGTGGTAGGTGGGTAGCCTTTTTAGTTGCGAGTCACGTTATTGCTTCATAGGTGCCTACTAATGCGTTTAAGGACATGACCTAAAATATAAAATGATTTAAAATACGTAGCTCTTGTTAAAAGAGGATTGGGTAGTTGCCAGGGATCAAAATTTAAAATCTATTTAGTCTGACAGTTATCATAATGAAAAAATATTAGACACGTGTTTTTTATTTTCTCGTATTAAGTTGCAATACTTAGATAAAATGGCGCTAAGTTTAGGAGTGGGAGGTCGT